TCAGCTTTTTAAACTTCTCTTTATAAGTGAGGTTTTTAAAATAATTCCATTTGCATTAATTCATCTGTTTCAAATTGTGCCAACCTGAAATAATCCTATGATTCCACTGTGTCTGCAGATGGGTCCCCATACATCCATCTGCCAGTCCTGGCAAACAAGTATCTCAAAATGATTTTCCCTGCCTGGGATTAGTTCAACATATATTAGGTGATCACAAACATGAAATCATGTGTCCTCAAAAACAGTCTACACTATAGCACTTCGAAGGTTAGTGTTACAACATATGACATCTAACTTTGTCAAGAGACCAGCTAAGAAATGGAAAAAGGGATGTCTTTCATTGTGGATCACAGTTTGATTATGTTATCAGACTTATCTGATAAAGGTGGCAAAAATTTCCTTCATAATTTCATGGACAGTCAGGATGATGTAAAAGTTTAAACAATGAATGAATAAAGATTGATGTTTTAAAATCCAGTATTATCAGAGAAAAATATGTTAGTCTTCCCTAGTCAATGCATCCCAACTTTTAGTCTTAAGTCTTGGATACCCATATTCCGTGGGAATGATGTTACTTATTATATAGCATACTGAGGTAGGCTGGCTGAGTGCACATAATCATGCACATTGATCTTAGATGGTAAAACTGGCAAGGATTCTCCTTTCCAGGAACAGCATGGTAGCACAGAAGCTGAAAGTGAAGAAAGGCAACAGCTCTCCACCCAAATACTGACAGCAATAAGTGTGTACAGATAGGTTATTTAAATATAGATGGATTTTATTGAAAAAGAAGTCAAATCAGGAGAGAGATAAAGAAAAGAAAATATGCAATATGTGGGTTTAACTAGGAGTTACTTGGTTCCTCTAACAAGATGTATGGTAAATATTATAACAACTCAATTTTAGTTTGGATTCCCTTAAAAGCAAGTGACTTCTAATTGGTGGGTCATAAACTGAAGAATTGGCCCTTTTTTAAAGACATCCACACATAAAATAATATAGCATTTGTATCACACATACACAATTTTTTAGATATTATTAACTTTTAAAAATTTTTATTTGTTTTTTTATTTATTTATATATGACAGTAGAATGTATTTTTGACATCATATCATACATACATGGAGTATAACTTCCCATTTTATACTATTAACTTTTAAGAATTTAAGTTTTTTTTTTTTTTTAACTTTGTTTTTATTTATGTTTTGGTACTGACATTGAACCCATGGAGGCTTTATCTTTGACCTAAGTTCCCAGCCCTTTTTATGTTTTATGTTGAGGAAGGGTCTCATTAAGTTTCTTACAGCCTTGCTAAAGGGCTGAGTCTAGCCTTGAACTTGAGATCTTCCTACCTCCACCTCCCAAGCCATTGGGATTATAAATGGCTTGTACAACAATGTCTAGCTGAAATTAAAAAAAAAAATTATAAAACCTTAAAAAAAAAAAAAAACAGTAAAAATATTGTACTGACCCACCGTATTCTGTTTCCCTAAGATTCTAGAAGTTTTCTAGGTTCTATGTTCTTAGCATCTGGTTTAGAAATTTAAGTTATTTTCTCTTCTACATGTTTTGAAACAATAGAATGGCAAATTTTCCAAGACAATTAAGAAAAAATAAGAGAAGAAATCATCAGCAGAACTATTACTGTTTAAAAGAACCCACTAAGGATGTTGATTCTAGTTAGTTTCTTCTGAACTGTGATGGACTACATGGTTCTGACTCTCCACAAAGTCATATGTTGATGTCTAGCTGGATGGTATTTAGAGGTGGAGAATTGGGGAGGTCACAAGAGTGGAGCCTTCATGAATAGGAATAAGAGTTGATGCAACAAGAAGGAGGCTCTTGGCAAACCATGATAAGGACCACCACTAGGCTCCAAATCGGCCACCACATTGATCTTAGAAACTTACCAGGATATAGAACCATGATAAATGAATGACATTTAAACAACCGAGTTTATAGTATTCTGTTTTAGCAACTCCAAATTATTAGACCATTGGACTTCAGAGTGAAGGAAAACATCTGAGCTCCTTCATACGGAAAAACCATGTACATACTCACGTGTATATACGTGTCTATGTACATAAATATCAGTTGAATAATTGAAAATAAATAAAATACAAAAGAAATATAGAAACATATTGATATAGGCTTGAAGTTTAAAAAAAGTGTCATGGGGCTGGGGATGTTGCTCAAGTGGTAGCGCGCTCGCCTGGCATGCGTGCAGCCCGGGTTCGATCCTCAGCACCACATACAAACAAAGATGTTGTGTCCGCCGAAAACTAAAAAATAAATATTAAAAAATTCTCTCTCTCTCTCTCTCTCTCTCTCTCTCTCTCTCTCTCTGTCTCTCTCTCTAAAAAAAAGTGTCATAAATAAGAAAAGAAATAGAAAACTCTAATTTAAAAAGGTAAATTAATCCAAGGACCATAAGAATAAAAGAAATAAAAAAACAAAGAAATGAAATGGTTCTAAACTGAAAATTAGTAGATACAATAAAAACAACAAAGAAGGAATTCAAAATCCTATATGAATCTTTTGCTAAAATATCAACAAAATTTTTGATATGGAAACATAAAACTTTGGAAGATATTAAATTAAGATACCAACATTACAACTAGCAAGGTAAACATAAGATGTGTTATATATCCAGTAGCTTCACAACCAGTTGTATAATTTCTGGGTCAAGTAGTAGTTCTATTTTGAGATTTAATGAAACTTTATTATTTTACATACTAGCTGTATTAATTTACACCTCCACCAGCAGTATATGAAAGTTCTTCTATCTTCAGAAGCTTTATAGCATTTATCTTTTTAATAATAATCATTCTAACTGGAATGAGATTAAGTTTCATTGTGATTTAGACTTGCACTGATTATTAGTCATACTGAACATTTTGCCATATGCCAACAGGCTATTTCTTTTGAGAGATGTTTAGTTATTTAGCTCATATTTTCATTGGGTAATTTACTTACTTATATTTTGTTATTGACCTGTTAAAGTTACTTTTCTATTCTCGCCATTAACACTTCGTCAGAGGTAGAATTTGCAAATATTTTCACCCTTTCTGTGTGTTCTTTCTTCATTCTGTTGACTTTGTCTTTTGCTTTGCAACTTTTTATTTTGATGTCATCTGCTTTGTGGACTTTTGCTTTTGTTGCCTGTGGTTTGTGTATCATATCCAAAATATTTTTTGCTTAGAACTATTGTGAAGTATTTCTTCTAATAGTTTTCTAGATGTGGGTTTTTATTTTTTTAAATGTGTTTTATCTTAAATTTGGCTTATGAACAGAGGTCAAGGTCTAGTCTCATTTTTCTAAGCAATATTTTTTTTGTGAAGATATCATTGCCCAAGCATATACTCACATGTGGCTATAAGTTAAACACCAAAACTCTTTCCTAAATTAGAGAAATTGGTATTCCATGTTATTTTAATTATGTCAAAATGAACCCAAATATTATGCATAACTAACATGAACTAGTAAAATAATTAATGTGGATATAATCCCACTACTGGGTATTTTATATATA